ACAATCGCACCTACAAGCGTCGGCAAAATCCAACAGAAAGCGAAAACACCAATTGGAAACGAGATAAATAAGAAATAAATGACACAAATCCATCCGTAAGGATCAGTTAACGAAGACCAAAAAGAAGTACAACAACTAGTTTTTTGTTTTTTGGTTTCTAATGTGGCGGTTGGTTGTTGCGAAATTAATACACCTCGTTGTGGTAGTGATGGTGGTGGTGGTGGTGGTGGGGAGGATAAAGCGACTATTGCACGTTCTGGAACATTGAGAGCTATATTGGTGTTGGTGTTGTTGTTAGTCTTGGTGTTACTAGAAGATTGTTGCGTACGTGAAGAAGAAGCGACTTCATATGGTGGTGGTTGATCAATATCGATTTCTAGTTGCCTGTTATCCAAGGCATCCAATCTCTTTTTGTCATTAGGAAAGTATAAACTGCTATTATTCATTTTTATATATGTTATGATATTTTTAAATGGAGTTAAATTCACGTGAAATAAAATATTTATGAAATGAAATGAAAAAAATAAGCTGTGCTGCTTTTGGTGCCAGCAACACTCAAAAGTGGTTGTATTTATTGTTTTTGTGAATTTTGCCAAGCTTTATCGTTATTTTCCATTTTATTTGATTTCCCAAATCTATATTCTCAACAAAATGATGTTCATCCAATTAGTAGACGATCTGAACCATACATAGTCTTGGCAAAGTTTAATCTTTGAAACATCTTCTTGGCATGGGAGAAACTTTATATTTTTGCGCATCTATAAGCAAACAAACATGTGTCGTATGTGAATTGTCTTAAAAAAATATATAGGTAAATGAAATGTATAATCCCGAATTTTCCATATTTTAATATTACTAAAGGACGCCCAATAAGCCAAGACAAAGATTATTACTGTATACATGTATCGCCAAGATTTCAGAATTTTCTCTTTCGGTGTTTAAATACACGTGCTATATCTATAACGATAAGAACAATATGCTAGTATATTGATATACATGCATGTACTGTATCTACATGTATATGAAAAAATTATAGAAATATACAAAAACATCAGATGTTTTATAAAAAGTGCACCTTTACATCTTTTATACAGTAAATGTAGGTGAGTTTACTTAATTTACTACATGCATAGTTCACGAAGACATTTATATTAATATCTTATTTACTGTAATTACCGAACCGATCGGAACCTTAATCTGAATTAATAATAAAAAGACAAATAAACATTTCAACAAAATATTTTTTTTACTTTCTAATCTTCTCACATACCAAGTTCACAAAAAAATATATAGATATTTATAGTGAGACCCAATCGAATGTAGTCTCATATCGATACATATTACAGTAATACATGTATAAAA